ACTATATTTAAGTCCGTGACTGATATTTTACTATCAAATTAATTATTTTTAACTGAAATTTATAGAACAGTATAAATGTCTATAAAAATTTAATTAAAAGCGATTTTTTAAAAACAAATTAAAATAATAAAACTTTTTTTAATTTGGTGAAAAAATTCCCGGTTTGGCATGAAATTCCTGGCTTATTCCCGGTCGATTAAAATTCCCGTCTATTTCCCGTTTAGTAGGCACCCTGTGAAACATCCAAATTGGAAATTTTGAGATAAATTTTTTTAATCCCTTTTTAATTTTTAAAAAAAATTTTACAAAGAATATTATACCATTAAAATAACTTATTACAATAATTTTTGAAAATAGTTATCCGCCATTTTAAATTTTCAAAAACTAACTGCAGATTCGTAAATCAGCGACTCGAATAACCCCTTAGGTTTCAAGTTTTATGAGAATCCAACAATTTTTTGAAAATTCGTCCGCCATATTGAATCCGCCATTTTGAATTTTCAAAACTTGACTTCAGATTCGTAATCAGCGACCCCAAAAACTCTTAGATAACAAGTTTTATAAAAATCCAACAATTTTTGAAAAAAATCATCCACCATATTGGTTCCGCCATTTTGAATTTTCAAAAACTGACTTCGGATTCGTAATCAGCATTTCTAAGCACCCGTAGATACAAAGTTTCAAACAAATTCAACTTTAAGAAAAATGTATGCATTTGGAAACCACTTTTCCGGTGGAAAGTCATGCGCCAGAGGGTTGAATATGACGCATGTGTGTAAATCGCTTCTCTCTCAATAGAGCCAGCACTACAAAAGCGGTAAAATTTAAATTATCAATTAAATGAATAAAATAGTTAATATTGGGTTAGGCTGGTTTTGTCGTGGTAGAGGATTACAAGAACAGATTTTCACTAACTCTTGATTGGAAAAGAGCTTTAGAGAACGAAATTGTATTTCTACGTTTATAGAAATAAAAAATTAACTAAGTTTTAACGCCAATAATATTATTTTTTTATAAATACACTCCTAAAATTTGCATTCTAATAATAATTAATAAAAATTTCACTATGAAATTTTAGCCATGTGGTAATTTACCGTCAATCTGAAACGATTTTAAAATAAATACTTTACGTTTAAAACAATTATAATTAAATGAAGACAAATAAATTAAAAACTTTATAATTCCCAGTAAAAAAAAGAAGTATTGAGTGGAGCGTTTAGGAATTGAGTGAAGCTCTGAGTCAATACGGATTCGAGTAAAAACCGTATTGGGAAATACGGTATATCAATCTTTTTTTCAACCGCCGAATACGGTCTTATTTTAGCATTAAAATTAAGATCACATGACCAGAGTACACATTATAAATTGAAAGCACAATTGTCCTGGAGGGTAAAAATGCCGATTTCGATAAGAAACAGTGAATATTTGTTAAAAATTGATAAAAGCAAAGTTTGATAAGCGCGACTGAATTTACCATGTGAATAAATGAAGTGGTAAGTTTAAATGGACGAAATGGACTGAAAGAAATCTACTTTTATCGACAGAAAGTTCCTAGAGAGTTATGGTAAATTCAACAAAACAATGAAATTTCATTGTTTTAAATTCTCTAGGAACTTTCTGTCGGTAACAGTAGATTTCTTTTAGTCCATTTAAACTTACCACTTCATTTATTCACATGGTAAATTCAGTCGCGCTTATCAAACTTTGCTTTTACCAATTTTTAACAAATATTCACTGTTTCTTATCGAAATCGGCATTTTTACACTCCAGGACAATTGTGCTTTCAATTTATAATGTGTACTTTGGTTATGTGATTTTAATTTTAATGCTAAAATAAGACCGTATTCGGCGGATGAAAAAAAGATTGAGTCAAACGTCCCAATACGGATTTTACTCGAATCCGTATTAGCTCAGAGCTTCACTCAATTCCTAAACGCTCCACTCAATACTTTTTTTTTTACTGGGTTCTATCTTACACCTATTTTTAATCAATATTTTTGTCTTTCAGTGTATTTAAAAACATGTTAGAATATGTTGAAGATCTTCCAAACCAAAACTTTCTAACCGAACGTTGACTTTTAAATTGAATTTTCTTATCGAATTTTTTCATAATTTAGGCCAAAGATTTAATGTAGAGGGGGCCCAAATGTTATCTTCAACTTGGTAAATAAAAGCCACCCTAATATGTAGGCAATTCCAGGTTAAATTACAGTCCACATTTTCAATTAAGATGAAAATATATCTCGAAATATATTGTTAATCTATTTTTTTCATTTTTTATAGGTAACTAAATTTTTGTATTTTTTTTGGATTTTTAAAAGTAGACTTATTATAAACTATCTATCTATAACTCTAAAACTATTGAATTTAGAAAACTGAGCCAAGAACATGTTTAGTTTTTTACTTATCTACACTGCAAAAAGAAGCATCTTAATTTAAGATGTTTTGGTAGTCATTTCTAAGATGTTTTGGTAGACACTTTTTAGTGATTTGAAATGTCTTAATTTAAGATGTTAAAAGCATCATCTTACACATTTTCAGCATATTTTTTAGGAAAAAAAATTTGAGGTTAACCATAGGCTCCTATGGATAACACTTTATCCATCTTATTTTTTAGTAACTAACATTTTTGTTGCATCTTACGATACATAAGTAACTTTATCGCCAAACATCTTATTGCACCAAAAACATCTTAATTTAAGATACTTTAAAAAACTTACCAAAGTAACTTACTTTTCTAAGATGGGAAAAATTTTTTAATCACTCCTAAAACGTATAAAGCATCTTAGATATTAGTAAGATACTTTAGAAAACATCTTATTTTAAGATGTAAGATACCATTTTTCAATCTTAAGTCTTATTTTAAGATACCGAAAAAGATACCTATTTTTGCAGTGTAATACACACTTACAAATAATAAGAATAGTTTGCAAAAATATTATTTTGGTCCCCTAATAGAATAGAAAAATAAAGGATACGTATACCTTTTTTCTAAACGGAATAAATAAAAAATACTTGTGACGTAGAATTGACCGTATATTATTATTATTTATATAATTGTTGCTTAAGTTTTTAACATTTTAAAGTTTTAAATTGAAAGTTTAAATATAAATCCTAATGTTTTTAACTTATTGCAGTTGAACTTCAGTGATTTTTAATGTAGGTAAATATCTAAAAGAAGACATAAATGACATTGAATAGTGCAAAATAATTTCAAAACAATCATTTATTCACAAATATAAAGAAAATAATTGCAATTTTTATTATCCGAACTTTTGATTATCTGAACCAGATCCTGCCTGGTCCGGGAAATCTGGGATTTTGCCGGGAATTTGAAAATCATAATTCGCTAGACATCCTGAATAATTTTTTAAAATTCAATATTTTTAATATTTTCAATTAGGGTCATTTGGGGTAAATGTAAACGGAATATCTATTTTTCACGAAAAACATTAGTTTTTTTTTGTTTAAAGGGTAAAACGGCCGGATTTCTTTTGCATGAACTTGTTACGTTACTTCCCTAGAAAAATTTTATGAGGTACAAAAAAATATTGATGCACCTGAATCGCCTAAAACTGAGTGTTTACATTTACCCCGAGATTTTGAAATTTTCCTAAAATTCGGGGTAAATGTAAACACCACTGTAGTTAAGCGAGGTTTAAGAAACAAGTTATTTCAAGTATACTACTGTATTAATGGATGAAAAAACTGAAAAGAAATTCTTCGTAGATGTATAGTAAATCAACCAGTTGACTAATAACGTATCATATAAAATAAACAATCAACCATTACAAAATTAGTCATGTAAAAACTTGAATAATTTGAACAAATTTTAATAGATTTTCATTCAACTTGGTAAAAAGAAGTTTTTTTTTCTTTTGCTGAATAAGAATCTGAAATCGAATTTTTAAATTTCAAAATGGTGGATCCAATATGGCGGATGAACCTAAAAATAATATTTTTAAAAATTGATCAAATTTGCTTGAATCTGGCTACTAGGGGGTTTTTGAGGTCGCTGAATACGAATTTGACGTCAAATTTTTAATTTTCAAAATGGCGGATCCAATATGGGGGATAAACCTAAAAATATTTTTAAAAGTTTATCAAATTTAAAAATTTTTTTTGATCAAATTTTTTTTTTAAAGATGACCTAATTTTTTTTTATATGTAATTTTACATTGCCAAAGTAATGAAATTGTTAAATAAAAGAAAATTTATTCAATTATTTTCTTTTAAAATGTAGTTTAAGTTCTGTTTTCGAATTCTCGGGGTAAATGTAAACACTTAATTATTTATTAAGTAAATTGACGAAAATAGGGGCATTAATAAGGAAGAATTACATATTTTTGTTTGATTTTTAAATTTATTTTTATGCAAATGCGAGACAAAATACTGAAACAGTAAAATTTTGATTTTCAATCTTTTTTGCATTAAAAAATAACTTACACTATGGCATTGCCAATGGTCAAAATAAAATATTGGCAATACTCAGAACATCTTGTAGGTGAGCTGAGGTAAAAATATTGACCTCATACTTATTTTTAAATTTGTAAATTTAGCTGAAACATCTACTGTTTACATTTACCCCAAATGACCCTACATATTTCCAAAAATAATAGCATTTTAGAATTATTATCCTTAACATTTTGGAGAAAACAATAATGTTTCAAATTTTTAATTAAAATTTATTAGTGGTCCCTTCACGAAAAGGAAGGAATAGTTGACACAGCCAAATAACCATAGTTAAGGTTGCTGCATCCATATTCTATGGCTGGCTGTATATTGTTGGAGCAGCATAAAGATTAAAAAGCGGTCATTCATAAACTCGGTAGTCCCTTTTTTTAAATTTTGACCCCCCTCTTCACATGAAGAACATTGTATCGTGGTCAATACTTATCCCCTTGCCCCCTCAAAATAGGCTACGTGGTTTATGAACTACCCAAAACTACTTTATTGGTAAAAAGGATTTTAATTCCATTAAAAATGTTTGTATTTTTAAGGTTCCAACTTTGCGATTTGCTGACATACACATCCAGAGGAGAAATTATAATTTGTCGAAGAAAACGTTGGCAATTAAATCTACACAAGGTAAGAAAACAATTAATTAATCATTTCTTAAATTACTGCGTTTATAAATTTTTATTTAACATGATATTATGTTAAAAAGAAAAAACAAGCAAAGTTGTCAGCCAAGTTTTATCATTAATTGTTTTATTTTTTTTGGCATTTCATTAACAGTTTCTTTAACTTCATATAAGAAATAAAGTTTATTTGAGTGTTTTAATTTATATTCAAATTATATATAAATGCTTATGAGACTTTCCACACCAACAAACATATCGTCAAAATTCACAATTTTTTATTTGGATCAAACATTTTTTATCTTTTAGTACTAGTTGAAAAAGAGCTTCATGATTTTTTCAAATTTTTTTACCCCCACTGAAAGAAACTTTGTTACAATATATGATAAAGCCGAAAGGAAATTTTAGTATTTATCTATGAAAAAACAAACAATTTTCATTTAAAAAAGTTTAAAATTCATCCACATTTGTAGAAATTATGAGCATTCAAAACATTTTTTTCAAAACGTAAAATTTTGAAAAATTCGTATCTTGTAAACGGCTGGGTAAAAAAATTTGAAAAAAAATCATGAAGCTCTTTTTCAACTAGTACTAAAAGATAAAAAATGTTTGATCTAAATAAAAAATGTGAATTTTGACGATATGTTGGTTTGGCGTGGAATGTCTCTTATTGTATACACAGTAAAAATAAAGAATTAGCCGTAAGCGAACATAATTTGTGTCCGGTAAAAAGGCTTGCATTAGAAAGTATTGAAAAAATTGAATTCTTTTTAATTCCTTTTTTGTCCTGAGTTTTGAATTCCCAATAAGAGTATATGTGACGCGCTCCCAAGAAAGCTACCTAAGAAGCAACCCAGTAAACAAAAACTAATTGAAATAAATTGAAAAGAATTCACAGAGTTTCAGTGAATTCCGCTTTGTGACAAATACGAATTGGAGCTATGTTGCAATTTTCCTGAATTCGTCAAACTGTATTGAACTTCCACACCTTCTATTCTTACTAATTCAATGGACAAGTTTTGGGGCCTTTAATTTTTTTAATTCGTCAGCACGAATTCAATGCATGCCTTGGTCATTTCTTACGAATGCGAATTCGTTCGCACAACTTCAGGCAAATTAAATCGAATTCAATCGAATATACAAAGAGCTTGAATGAATCCCGCTTTCTACAAAAAATCTTAATGCATTTCAATCCGTTTGAATCAGTTTTTTTTACTAAGAATTGAATTATAAGTTGGGTTCGTGTTAGATTTATCTTCATTAACAATTTATTTTTATTTATTTAAATTTGAAACCAATATTCATTGAATATTTTGAATATAATGAAAACTTGAAGACCAACCATTTTTAATTAATAATTGATTCTCTTTCTGCATTTTTACTAAAAAAATTTAAATCATAACCTTAAATTTTTTACTTCTGAGATACCTTTTGTTCGGTGCGTGACATATATGGATGATTCTTCTGAAAGTGCCGCTTTTGAAATTCGATTTTTCAAATTATTTTTTTCTTAAATTAAATGGTTTTTTCTATTGAACTTACTTTATTTCATACTCAAGAGTAAGAGTTCAAGTTGCGAAAAATTAATTGTTGAAAATATTAAAGTATTTCTTCTTTAAAGAAGATTGACTTTGTTGCTCCAATTGATTAGTTTTTCTTTCTTGAGTTTTTTTAATAAATATACACACTAATATAATTCACATAATTCATAATAAAATTACACTGCTTTAAAATTTTCGTCTTCCTATTGATGATCAAATAATTTTTAATACCTCCTGCTTTCTATTCAAGCCTTTTTACCGGGTGGTGACTTAAGCCTTATATGGTATCGCGTGAAAACCGTATTGGTGGGTTAGGCCAATTTTATTTTCTCATCGTGAATCTTGCGCCCTCCTAGATCTTTGGAACTAACTTTTATTGATCTGATTTGGCATTCTAATTGAAATGAAATCGATATCGTTCTAAAGTTTGAAAATGCCGATTACGAACAGGAAATATGAATTTTGTTAAAATGTGAGTAAAATAAAATTTGACAGGCAGACTGCATACTATTGATGTATGGGTTATTTTCAAATACCTGTCATTTTTGCATGTCTCCAAATTTAAATAACTACTAAAATTATTTTTTTGCCAGTTACTTCATGAACCACTTAATGTAAATCTGTTCTTGAAGATACTTTAAATTTCGTTCATTAACTAATAATTATTATAGTTAAAATTGAGAAGATAGGGTAAAATTGTCATGTCCGTGGCATACTTTTTTGAAATTTTGTTCCGAAATTGTTACTTGATCAAATATTGAGACTATCTTTCGAGAACTTTGTAGGCCAAATCTAACTAGATGTTTTGCATATAAAAGTATTTTTATTATAATGATATTCTGCGTATATGAACACGTTTTTCATGTCCCCAACTGTTAACTACTTTGTACCTACACATGTTAACGAAAGCGTGATTTTATTACTCAATTTTATTTTTAATTTACTTCTATTGGCATTATTTTGAAGCGCGGATATTGAAAAGAAAATATCTATTTGATTATTTATTTATGTGTCCTAACTGTGGTGTACTTGTCAGGTTCGTGGTATGTCACTTTTACGATTTTCATCGTAACTTTAAAAATATTCATAATCTTGTAGTTTCCTTTTGAACATATACTTCAATAACAAAAATATACTGAAATATGTAATGAAAGTGAGTATAAGTATACAATTTTCTAACTTTTCTAAAAAGATACACAAATCAAATGGTAAGTTATCAATATTACACAGTTTGCCTATTAATTTTTATTTTTTCACATTTTGACAAAATCCATATTTCTGTTTGTAATCGACATTTTTATACTTTACAACTCAGTCTTTCCCCGCGATATTGAAAGTTACCTCTACTAAGACATCCTTAAAATATCGATGGTGGATATTTGTTTTTTATATTACTATTTTCTTCTAATACCTATAAAGGAAGAAAATAAAACAATAAGGAGAATCTAAAGAAATAAAATTAAAATAATTCATAAATAATTTATTCTCTTGACAAAAATTTCCACATCCCACATATATCAGTAAAGCATTCTAAAAATATCCATAGAATATCTCGTGAATTTTTGGAAACTTTTGGTGCTTTATAAATTATATAGATATAACATTTAAAATGCAGTTAGAAAAATTATTTAATGTTTTTTACAGAAATCATTAAAGGTACAACATTCAAACGACGAGAGACAAAAAAACAATAATGGAAAATACGTCAGTTCCTCTTAACATCCTTTCCGAAATTGTCATGGAGAATTTCAAGGAAGCAATGAGGCAGAATAATCAGTGTCTCGTTAATGAGTTGCTGTTACAAGGAAGCGTTTACCAAAGCGATAAATTCGGCAACACATTTTTACACGCTGCGGTAACAGAAGGCTCATTAGACACCGTAGCAGTTTTGTGTAACTTAGGGGCGGATATTTATGCTTTCAACAAAGAGAAGAAAACTCCATTGTTTTATGCCATTAAGAGTTCGGTAGATATAGTTAAAATACTATTAAATAATAGGGTAATTAATGATTGGAGTTTACTGCGTCAGGCTATCATTTTTGGATCTGAAGAAGTAGTTAGATTTTTTGTAAATAATTTGCCATTATATATTAATAACAATTTTCAAACAGAGTTAATTTTTAATAGAAACTTAAGACTTTTTAAAAATGATAAATATGATAAAATTGACGATATCTTCAAAGTACTTCTTCAGATCCAAAAATACGTATGTCGAGAATACTTAGATTATCCTTTATTAATTTTTTTAGCCGCAAAATTAAACAACAAACATATTTTACAATTAGTTTTAGAAGACTGTGAGAAATATGTAGAAGAATGTACAGGCTACACTAAACCGTTAATTGAGAGTAATGTGGAAAGAGATGAAACACAGTATCGATTTCTTCCCTTTGAATTAAATTTTCAAGGTACATTTTGCGAAACAGCACTTCATTACGCAGTGAGTCTTCAACTGCCTGAAGTTGTGCTGTTTCTCTTACAAGAAGGAGCGGATCCCAATTGCAAAACTCGTAGCGATTTAACACCTCTTCATTACGCATCATATCTTGGAAACGAGAACATTTGCAGTATTCTGCTAAACTTTGGAGCGCATGTCAATCCGAATTCATGTCAGACCAATTTTGGACTGATTTCACATTCGGATTGTACAAGCAATCCATTGCATTTAGTTTGCGGTGAGTGGACCACGCGAGAAGTTTTAAATTCGTCTTGGAATTCTTTCTGTAAAGAATTGCATGATCTAAATTTCGTTCCGGGACCTGTTTTTGATAGAAAGATATTAAAGCTATTACTGAGTTATGGAGCAAATCCTAAAATTTCAGGACATAATGGTTTTAATCCTTTCTTTGAAGTGTGCAGAACAGGTCGTTGGAAAGAAATGAAGATTTTTTTGGAATTCCTTACAGATTTTTGTGCTTATGATACAGAAGAGAATACAGCTCTTCATCTCGCAGCGATTGATGGTGCCTTTAAAACAGTAGATCTTCTACTGGCAAAAGGCATTGACGTCAATGTAAGGAATTATTTGGGTTATACTCCTCTTATGTATTACATAACAAATGTGAAAAATCCATGTTCCAAAATGATAGAACTTTTCGCATACCATGGTGCAAATTTAAATGACAGAAGTAATGAAGGGTGGACGGTTTTGCAAATGGCTGCTTCCTTTAACAATCCTAAAGCTGTGCTAACCTTATTGGAATTAGGAGACAATGAATTATGGAATTTGTCTCCTGATTCCCATACACAAGGTTTAGTTTCAAGCTCGTGGTCAACTGGTGGAAAGGGATTAGAAGTTCTTCTGTCTTTCATCTCTTTAAGAGAGGATAAAATCGGAAATTATGTTAAATGTTTTATAAAACCGGGTCATTTCAACAAAGCTTCTACATATTTTGAAAAGTCAAAACTAGAACAGGAAGAATTAAAGAAAGCGATAGTAGTGCACAGAAGAAAATTTTCATATTACAATATTTTAACGTGGAATTTTTCAACATTAGTGCGTGTTATTAAAATTGCAAAATTAAGAAATGAATTGACTTATAATACAGATATAAGTTCTAATTTCCCATGTTATGCACTTTTAATAAATCGTAGATTGTCAAGAATTAAATTATTAGAAGCTTCTGTTGATAAAACTATCGATTTTTTTATGAATTTCGGCGAGAAAAAGCTACCGTGTCTAGTTGTTGAGAAGATTCTTAGTTATCTTTCTTGTAGAGATTTTCAGGTGTTTGGAAATATTCTATCTGAAATTTAATTATTATGAACTTAAAAAATAGAAACATTAGATTTTCGTTTTAATTTCTAGTTACCATTCACAGTACTCAAATTCGCATCAATAGTAACATTTTCTCAACAGTTACTTTAATAAGAAAATGTCAATACTGCTGCAACTTTTAGTACTGTGTGGGCTTTATATTTTATTGTAATTTATACAATTTATGTTTTATTATCAAATTATTTATTGTAAAATATGTTTGTTGTTATTTTAATGTAAATAATGTATATAGTGTATATATTTAAATAGTATAAATATAATTAATGTGTACATGTGAATGTTGTGTGTATGTATGTATATTTATGTCATGACTTGTTTATTTACAAAAATATCTTAATTTAAAAAATTAAAGATGTGATTCTAAATTCTTATATTTGTTAAACTTTACCTCAAAATATAAAACTTTTTATTTACACAACATAATGGTATCTTACATTAAAAGTTTAATAAAGGGTATTAAAAACGGATTTTGTTTTTTTAATATTTTTACAAATTTATCCCAAACTTACAATAATGTTATAATATATTTTGTTTTCATAGCATTACATTTTTTTGTATATTCAATTAAATCATATTTTATTTTCTAAAATAAAATCTTCAAAAATACAGATACTTAAAATTGAGAAAGTAAAATATTCTTAAAATGCTGCGAAACAACTATTTTCTTAAAATACATAACTTAACATTTTTTTAACGAAATATAATCTTAGAAAATTGATAAATTAAGGAAACAGGAAAATCTACATGGATTTAAAAATGTAAGTATATAATTTAATATTACATTCTTTTATATTTATATTTACTTGTTTCAATTAGAAGTTTATTACGAATCTTTCTTTGTAACAATTTTACTATTTTTTCTTGCTTATTATACTAAGACTAACTTATTCATGAAATATAATATTCAAGAATTCATTTATTGACAACTTTGAAAATAGTAATTGTTTAAAATTTTTCATTGTAAGAAAAAAATTATTTTCAAGTTTTACTATATTTATGAATGTCAAAATTGTTTGTTCGAAGTCATAAAATATAATTATTTTAATTAATTAAATTATAGTTATACATTATAGTTTACTATATAGGGGAGACTAGGTGCGGTTGTTACGCTGCGCAGTTGTTACAAATGGAACATTTCAGAAACAGTTACAGTTGTAGAGGTGGGGTTTCAAAGAGAAAAATGTTTAGTTTTTATGTACGAACTCACTGCAATATGTTTAAAAATTATATAAATAAAGCTTTACAAATAAAAAAATAGGCACATTGGTTTTTAGAGGCCAAAAGTAAATATTTCTCTGTCTGATATTTTTTAAATAATTAATAGGGGAGGATGGGGCAAGGATAGTTAAGGGCCAAGGATAGTTAGTTGCTGTTATGCTTATACGGCTTGCTTAATAATCGCGTAATTCATAGTATATTTGCGTTTTAACACCAAAAGATGATTGTAAAAATTGCAAGTCAATCTGTCACCATTTGCGAAGTTGGGAGATTATTTTTGAAAAAAGTCTGTTTTGCTAAAATGTCAACGTAATGTTTATCATATTGTTTTCTACATTAGAATTTCAGAATATTTTTTACGCAAAATGTTTTCCGGGGTGGAATTTCCTGCTGAACACGAATATCGTATTTATTTTCAAATTAATTTACGTCGTTCCTTAAAATTTGGAAAAAACTGAAATATGGGCTCATGGGGCAAGGATAGTTAGAGACAATACGGCACGGTAAAAGCGTGGTAATACCATTGAAAATTTTAAAAAAGTGTTTAATTGTTCTCTTTAGGTTGATATACATAATGGTGCATAATTATATACGGAAAACGAAGCTTATGACCAAGAAATTGGTGGTCGTCTGAAAAAAATTGGTTAAACCTCTAATTCTAGTTCAGATGAATTTTAATATAATAATTGCAATTCAGAAAATGTTCCATACATATTTTTAATACTTGGGATATCAATATTGAATAGTCTAAATCCAGTAAAATAAAAAAACAAAAATTTACTGATTTTCTATAACATTTTTGGCATTCGAATTCTTTTAACTATCCTTGCCCCGGTACTGGGGCAAGGATAGTTAAAAATTTTTGTTTACTTTTTCATTCGTATCTCGTAGGGATTTGAGTCTACAGTAAAATAATGTACAGCAAAATTATAGCCAAATAACCAGGCTTTCCAAAAATACTTTTTATTTGCAGATACATATTCAAGTTTAGCCGCTAGGTCCGAAAAGGTCTTACCTAACTATCTTTGCCCCATCCTCCCCTAAACCTTTATACTTAACAAAATAAATTTTTTTAAATATCAATTCTATGAGGATTAAGCTTTAAAAAACTGCCTTGGTTGTCCACATTTAGTATATACTTTTTTAATAAAGTGTTTTATTGTAGAAAATGTACCTGTTATGCAGTTGTTACAAGTGATAATGAGAACGGATATTTTTTGCAAAATTCAGAAGATTCGTTTAAAATGTAAAATATTTTTTTTAAAAGTGTAATCAGACTCATTTTTTATTAAAAATCTCATGGTTTTTCTAAATTCGTCTTCAAAATTAATGAAAAAAAAACTTTTTTAAGTTTCTTTCATTTCGAAATAATATTAATGCTGCCATCTCTATGGAACTGTCACGTACTATTACGTTGAGCCAAAAATTATAAATAATTAATAAAAATGGTTATAAAAAATTATTTGTCTTCAATTTAGAAATGTTATAGATGATTCTTGGTACTGTAACAACCGACATTTACTTTGCGCAGTTGTTACAATTTACACGCTGTCACTCAAATGAAAGAGAAATTTTAATAGTTGTTATTTAGTATATTATAATTATAAATACATTATTTAATGAAATTTAAAAACAATGCAAAAAATGCCTTTGCCCCACACGCTGGGGCAGCGACGTTTTCGCTTATATTTCTAAAATAAAGCATTTATAAGCCTTAAAAAAATTAACAAGTGATATTTATTAGTATAATATTTACGAAACATAAGGTTAACAACATATTAAAAGGATTAAACTATTTAAATAAAAAATATAAACTTGTAGTGATTTTAACCTTATATTGTGAATTAATACATAGAAAATTCGAATATTCAATTGTTTTTAACCAAATTATGTTCAATATTGCCTTTGCCCCACATAACAAACTTTTTTTTAATTTAAATTAAAAATATTTAGATACAAAATTAAGCTGAAACACCACGCCAGTTGTGTAGAGAAATATTTAATTTATTTACATGTTACGTTTTTAAAAATTAAATACTTAAACTTATGTTTAAAAAAATAAAAGTTTGTTCAGTAAAATTATCATTTTATTTTTGCAAAACAATTTTTTGTTATATTTCTTAAAATATTTGATATCTTTAGGTTTTTCTTTTTTTAATTAATTGGTCTGATTGCATTGCAACTTAATTTTTAATACCAATTGGAATAGACAGAAAATAAAGGAGATATTTTAAGAAACGTCTTTGCCCCGCATAGCGCCTTTGCCCCACTCTCCCCTATAGAGCTAAATCAATTATGGTCTTTTAAAACTAGATAATATACCTTTGATTTAATCGTTTGACCAAACAAATTTGAGTTAAACTCTAATCACAGTAACTGTTTTTATCAAAATTGTAACAACTGCACCTAGTCTGCCCTACTATTTTTTATTGCTTATGAAAAAAATCAATTTTATTATTTTTGGAGCCCCTAGTTCGCCGCGCCGGGGCCCCGAACAGTCTAACCCCCCAAACCGTCTATTGCTACGCCACTGATAATGTATCTGCAAACGAGTAGTATTTTTGGAAAGCCTGATTATTTAGCTATAATTTTGCTATATATTATTTTGCTGTAGACTGCAAATGTCATTAAAAATCAGTAAATTTTCGTTTTTTTATTCTATTGGATTTAGCCGTATAATATAAGCTTTAACTATTATCCTTGACCCGTGTGCCCATATTTCAGTTTTTTCTAAATTTTAAGGAACGACGTGAATTAATTAGAAAATAAATACGATATTCGTGTTCAGCAGGAAATTCCACTTCGGAAAACAGTTACGTTAATAAATACACTGTAAAAACAAAGTCTTTCTTTAAGCCAGAAATTTGTCTTTTTTCAAGGTGTAAACGGAAGTAGACCATATTGGCTGAATGTCAGTAATGATTAGAAGTTTAAAAAGAATACTCCCCAATTGATACAAGTGAGGTGTTAAATGAACTGAAATTCAACTGTAAGCTAGTAAGAAGGCTAAAATTCAGCCAAACCATCTAGCCAAATTTCAGCCTTCTTACAAGCTTACAGTTGAATTTCAGTTTATTTAACACCTTACTTGTATCAATTGGGGAGTCTTCCGTTTACACCTTGAAAAAAGACAAATTTCGAGCTTAAAGGCGGTGTCAAAGTCGATGCGATTTTTCCATTGAAGCTCAATGCAAAAATCCAATCGACTTTGACACCGCCTTAAAGAAAGACTTTGTTTTTACAGTGTATGTTCATATTCTTGAATTTTATTAAAATAAACATATGTCACATTTAATTTCTTATAACAAACAACAATTATTAAAACTATCAGTGGAAATTTCTCTCTTTAAGATAAAGAATTAAATGCTAATGCACATATATATTAGGTGAAATTAAGATTATAAACTGTTTATAAACTTGTTTATAATCGAATTAAAATATTAACATACTAATAAAACTAAACTTTCTGTCTAAGATTCACCAATTATAAATATAATTTATGGACTTATATATTATTAATAAAACACGAGTCAAAAGTAAACCGGCGACGCGACGCGCTATTTAGACTTTTCACGTTTGCAAATTGCGTCCCTTGTGACGTCACAATCAACTTTTTCAGCCTCGCCAGACTTACAGTCAGCTGTTAGCGTACCTTATTAGAAGTTAATTTCATCCAACTTTTTATTAATACCATTGGATCTGAAATTAAGTCCGGTGTATTACAAATAAATTACAAACTGAGTTTTATTTAAGTAAGAGTACAACTAACTTTAATTTTCAGTTAGTTTTTATGATTAAATAAAGTTGATAGCTTAAGGGGATTTGAACCTTGATGACGTCACAG